CAAACAAACAAAGTTAGCGCTTGCATGTATGTATGTATACATAATATGTATGTGTGTGTCAGATGTGTGTGTGTGTGTGTGTGTGCAAATGTAAAGCATAAGATAGACAATTACACTTTTGCCACTGCAGCTGCAGCTGCAGCTGAAGCAGCAGAGACCGAGACCGAGAGACCGAGAGGGTGCGAAGGGAGCAGCAACAGCATTTAGATAAACGCTAAAAGGTAAATGAACTTTATCAACCGAACAAGAAACGAGGTGTACACACACACACACACACAGATGCATGCATACATATGCATAGCATAACTGCAATTGCAGCTCATTGTGTGTGTGTGTGTGCCCCCCTGGTAGGTGTGCCCTTTTGGGCAGCCAGCCACCAGGTCTCGGTCTCTACTGCCTCTACGTTTTTGCTTATGAAATTGAATTGCATCTGCATCTGTAGCCCATGTGTGTGTGTGTGTTTGTGTGTGTGTGCGTGGGCTCCATTTAAATGTATGCGAATTTACTTGCAGATCTTTTGGGAACTTGTGGAGTGTTGAAAGCGCATATCTATACAATTTATAAATAAATAAGCGCCGTGCCCGTGAGCACAAAATGTTGCATCCATTTTTCATTGGTGCGAAAGTTGGCAATTAGAAGCGAGGCATAATCCAGTTCGTTTCTGGTGCAAATTAGGTGTATGCCACACGCTCTCTGGCACGCTCTTTGGCATTAAGTAGAGAAACCGAAGCTGTGGCATTAATTAACGTGAAGAGCAAAGTGCAACGATTTTCTAGCATTAAATAAAAAAAACATTTGAAACATTTTTAAAATTTAAGCAGAACTATCTTTGGCATTCAGTTTAAGCTGGGGGCATGGAGGAGCTTAATGCTGAAGGAAATTGGAGTGTTTGGAATTTCCAAAATATTTGCAAATTAAAGCAGCAGCAGCAGGATGGGCTGCACTGCCTTAAATTATTACATTTTCATTAAATCTTTATTTAAAGTTTATGAATTTTGTAAAAATATCTAGAAAATACCAACATTCCATTCCATTCCCTGCTGACATCCATTATTTGTTCCATTACAGTCCCCCCCAGTCGCCCTTAAATGCATATCTACTCCATTTCCAAGTCAACATTTCAGCATACGAGTACGAATACGAATACAAGTAGGAGTAGGAGTAGGAGTATATGCGGCTGCAGCAGCAGGCAAAAATGTCGGCAACAAATGGAAAAAATATATGCAAAAATACACAGAAAATATACAGAAAATACACAGAAAATATACAGAAGAAGAAAAAAGAAAGAAAGACTGAGTGGAAGTGGGAAGTTGGAAGTTGTAGTTGAACAAAAGACAAACAGAGCGAAATGCAGAAGGAGCTGGGAAACAGATTTTCCCTCCAACTGCAGTAATAAATGATAAACAAGTGCAAGCTGGCCAAATGGGCGTGACTCCTGGGCCTCTACGACTGGCATACTGAGGATACTGAGGTCTGGCTCTGCAAGGCTCTGATATTGAAAACTGCTGTTGCTGCTGCTGCTGCTACTCCTCTGTAATCCCCTTTGTCCTGTTTCTGTTTCTGGGCTCTGGTGCAAAGCTAAGCAAATGTTGCCTCTCTCTCTCTCTTTCTTCCTTTGCCTCCACATGTCTGCCTTTGTGTGTGTGTGTGTCTTTTCACACTTTTGCATTATTTATGCAGGGAACTAGGCATCTGTGTGTGTGGGTATGGGTGTGGGTGTGGCTGTGCCTTCTTGTACGTGCCTCGAAATGCAACGACAGCTGCTCCTGGTTCCTGGACCAAAAACCTCAGCCCAGCCCAGCCGAGCCCAGCCCAGCCTCAGCTGAAAATACATATATTTATTCCCTGTACATATTGTAAATGCCCCATGCCTCGTGTCAAACTTCTAATTAACCTCGTAATTCATGCAACCAAAGTGTGGCTGCCACACAGCGAGGTGCCGGGGTCGAGACTGTCGAGGCCCACAGTCAAGTCAAGTCGAGTCGAGTCGAGTCGAGTGACTGCTTGCCATTATTGTGCGTTCGTTCAGCTCTGGGAGACAAGAAGAGCCAGCCAAATAAGTGGAGAACGTGAGCTGGCAAATGACCCAGAAATTATCAACAATTTTTCATACACAAAATACTACAAATATTTCGCAAAAAATAAGTTCCAAAAAATTATTAAAAAATAAACGAAATAAAATATAAAATATACTTTAAGCCTCTTTCTACTAAGGACCGGTGGACTAAGGACTAAGAACCGGAGGAAAATAATGCCATCAAAGTGTAAGTACAACTGAAGGGTTTTAATTCTCTCTGGTTTCACCTTGGCATAGGCCTCACCTCTCTTGGACAGCGGAGTCAGTCCCTAAGTCCACTCAAAACGGATTCGCATTCCAGCTTTAAAATTTAATGTTGACGTGTGCCCCGAATGGTCTGTAGAATCATAAATCGTTCCAAAAATTGCCTAAATCGGAGCACAATATTTTCTATAGCTGCAAATGCAGCTGCTCTCTCTCTCCAGTGGAAGGTTTGGCAGTCATTGATGGATTATCACGCTCAAATAAATATAATAATGCTTAATTGTCTAGCTTTCCTAGTTTTGAGCACTATAAAACAAATCATTATTGCAAAAAAAAAAAAAACTCCACGCAATGAAAGCAAATAAACATAAATTGATTTAAATTTAGAGATTAATTGCGAGGCTTGGGGAGTAGGCCAAAGTGCAATAAACCAAACTACAGTTTGCTTAAACAATTATCGGAAAAGGTTGAGCGGAAACTATAATTTTAAGGCTGAAACAAAATTGTGGACCGTATCGGGGAGTATTTCGTAGTTTGTCAACAAAGTTGATTGGGTTCCAGAAACTTCTGCCTCTGCCTCTGTCTCTGTCTCTGATGGAATGTCAATCTTTGTAGCTGCTGTCGCAGCTGTGGCCCAATCAAACATTCAATTGCAATTTATTTTGCGGCTGCAACATCGACAACATCAAACCGCAGACAGCACTTAATTTTCTGGTAGTTCAAGAAGTTCAAACGACGACAAAAAAAAAAGAAAAAAAACAGAAAATATAAGCAAAGAAAAACCCAAACAAAAGAGTAACGAGAAAGGAACATAAAGCCATTGTCTTAGTTTTATTAAAACGCGTTTATTCTTTGTTAAATATCCAAAATATATAAATATCTCGAACGATAAATACCCTGTGTTAACAAATCTTCCAAGAAAAGTTTTATCTTGAGTAGGAACAAGGTGCAGCCCTGTTTTATTTGATTTAATCGGAAATCACAGTCATATTTTAATGAGTTATTCGGTTCTTAAATACAAAAATGGGTGAAATTAAATAATAATTCATTTATGTATTAAACGAAATATTAAAACACTTTAAAACAGATCAAATAGATTAAATTGGTTGGAAATATATTTAATTTAAATACGAAAGTATTTAAGTTAAATATGAAAATATTTAATTTGAATATAAAATATTAAAATACTTTAAAATAAATCCAATCTATCAAATTTGTTCTATATATATTTAATTTAAATATATATATTTTAATAAAATATAAATTAATTTAATTAATTTTTATAAAATATATTTCTCTGTGCAAATATATTTGTATTAATTTTAAATTCTTGTGAGATACCCCATAATACCCCTCTACTCTACTAGTAAAATGTGCAAATATCTGAACGAAAAATATACCCTCTATTTTTTTACGAGTGTAACAGAAGGCAAAACTTTTTACCCACACAGAAAAACTTGTCAAAGGCAACAGCCAAAAATGCGAATTCGTAGCACGGAAAAAAAGAGCGGACAAAAAAATCTGCCAATTTGTGTGCAATTTAAAGTGTCCGGAGGGAAGGGTGGGGCGGCTAGCAGATCCTAGAGAGGGACCGCCACCAACATACGTACTCCTTTTATATATACACGAAAAAAGTTAGCAACTATTTAGCTCTGGGGTTGCAGCAGCAGCAGCAGCAGCAGCAGCGCTACAAAACTTGGCAGACACAGGACTCGGACATGGGACACGGGACACGGGACACGGAACACAGATGAGCAGACCACAATGGAAGTGACCGCGTCGGGAGGGGGGATTGGGGGATAGGGATCGGAATGGCGTTGCAGCCATAAAGCGTTCAACAGCAGTCAGTGTGGGCAAGCGAGGCAAGCGAGGCAAGCTTCTGCATTAACGCTGACCGAAAAATCTCTGCAGCTGAAGTTGAACTCCCTCCATCGCTCCCTCTCTCCCTCTCCCTCTCTCATTTCGTATTTTTTTTTGCGCTCTTCCCAAAAAGTATTTCGCGGACAAAGCAGAGTTGCTCTTCGTCTTTTTCTACTCTCTCTCTCTCTCTCTCGCTCTTTTTGTTGCAACAATAACGCTACATTACAAGTGGCAGGCGAGCGCAGCGAGTTAGTTAGTTTGCCACCCATGCCCCATGCTGCATGGCCCATGCTGCATGCCCCATGCTTCTGCTGCATGCTTCATGCTTCCCGCAACTCGGGAGATCTGACAATTCTGTGGTCTTGTTAGTCCAGGGGCTGGCTGGCTGGCTGGCTGGCTGGCAAGTTGGTTAAAAAGTTGTTGATGCAGTTACACACCACCCCGCCCCAGCACCCTCCTGCCACTGCCCCTGCCCCTGCCCCTGGACACAGGACATTTGTGCTAATGGCTGCCAACGTTCTGTCAGGGGGTGGGGAGGGAGGTGTATCTGCTGGGTCTGAGGTCTGGCTGCAAACATGTTGCATACTCTGCGGCGTAAGCGAAAAATTTCCACCGAACCAAATTTTTGCCTTTTTTTTTGCCAAAAACTCCAAAAAAAAAAGAGGGAGAATAAAGTGAAGTTGTGGAAGGGGAGGGGGGATGGGGCAAAATAAATAAATTCAAACAAGGCAAAGCCCACACTTCTTGCAGATATTATATAATACAATCCTCCAAATAAATAATTGACAATGCGAAAAGGAAATGTTGCCCAAAGAAATGATCAAATTTTGTGCTCAGCCAGACGGGGGTAAGGGTAAGGGTAGGGTAAGGGTAAGGGTGGAGCCAATTCTAAGGGTCTTGCCCGTGCTGCGACTCCTCTTCCTCCAGCTCCAGCTCGTCCTCAGCTTCGAACTCCTCCACCAGCAGCAGCAAATCTTCGTTCTCGTCCTGCTCCTCCTGTGCCTCCTGATCCACGAGCGTTTGTTTTTGCTCCCCCGACTGGGAGGCGCTGTCCACACCCTGCTCGTGCCCATTTTCTGGCTGGTACTTGCCCGATTTATCCGCTGGCTGGGCGAGCGTTTCCTTCGCCGGCTGTGACTGTACCTTGTTCTGCTTGGCTGGCTCGTCTGATGGCAGTAAATCCACGAAGACGGGCTGGAAGTGTGGCTCCTCGGATGACAGGGACAGTTGCTCCTCGGATGGCCGCGACAGTGCCTCTTCGAAGACTTCCAGGTACTGTTCCTCCTCCGAGGGGCCGGACTGTGCCTCCTCGAAAACGTCCAGAGGCTGCAGCGGCTCGCAGACCTCCGGGGACTGTTCGTTCTGCAGGTCTGGCAGCGATTGCACCGCCTCCTCGCAGGCAGGCAGCGACACACACTGCTCCTCATGGCAGGTGGAAGGAGCCTGCACCTGCAGCTGCTCGCCGACTGACGCTGTTGCCTCAACGACCTGTCCGCACTGTGGCGACGGCGCATTTTCCGACTTGTAATCCGAATTTGGCGCAGTTTGAGTTTTGATTGCCGGCAGCTGGTCCGAGACTGAGGCTGAGTCGAGGCTTCTGAAGGAGCCCTGGCATGAGCCCTCCCGCAGCTCACGCTCCCGGATGGACTCCCGGATGGACTCGCGGATGGACGTGAAGGAGCCCTCGACGAAATTGCGCTGAATTGGCTTCAGCTTGATTTGCTTTGAAATGTTTGTGCGATTGAAATTGGTTGCCTGATCCTGCTGCCTCTCCCTGATCTGCTTCTGCACCAGACTCTGCAGATTCAATTGATTGAGCTGCTGACGCTGCTGCCGATCGTTGGCACTCTGCTCCTCGTGTATCGTCAGCTTCAGGTCGATGTCGGCCTTGAAATTGTTCGTGAGGAGCTTCATGTCGCGGTGTGTGAATCGCATGTAGAACTCGGTTTCCCGCTGCATTTCCCGATGACTGAGCAGCATCAGATCCGGCGAGGTGGGCACCAGCTGCTGTTTCACCTGCTGCTTGGCTCCTCCCGGCTCGGTGCTGATCTGCGACTCGGCCGAGACCAGCACCTGCAGCGAGGGATGCGCCTGGGGACAGAAGAGCCACAGATTGTACAAATGGGCGACCATCGGCCCGTTCCGCTGTGCATCCCACGATGTCTTCCACAGCAGCACCATCACGGCCAGCTGCTGCCTAAACTGGGCCTTGTTCGGCGGCAGGTGCTGGTTGTTGCCACACTGTTGGCCGCTCTCGAAGGCCAACATCCCAACGCACTGCTGACTCCCACAGGCAGCCAGCACCAGGGGCAGGCCCAGCCGCAGCGTCTCCGTCGTGTTGGGCCGCATCGGCAGCGTGGCCACCAGCGGATGCTCGATCAGGCAGTGCGACAGACAATTGGCGGAGTTCAGCAGCGTCTCACAGCTGGTCAGGGGACAGGTGAAGGCCAAGCGTTGCTGGCAATTCTTTTGCTCGCGATCCGCAGCACGACTCATCAGCTGCTGGGCACTCTGCGACTGGCCCTCCTCGCCGCCGCGCAGCGACACATTCGCCCCCTTGCGTGCTGCCACTGGGACCGGCTCTGGCTCTGGCATTGGCACTGCCACTGCCACTGCCACTGCCAATGCCACTGGGACCGGCACTCATGTCCAGATCCACGTAGAGGCGCGGCTTTTGCGGCTCCGCGCGGTAGCTCAGACGCGTGTGGGAGAGCACCACCTCGTCGGGCAGATCGTCGTCGGATAGATCGCCATGCGTGGGCTCTGGCAGGCACTGCTGCGAGATGATGGGCCCCACCAGCGGCGCGCACAGCGAAAACTCCGAGTGCGAGTAGCCGAGATTCAGGGAGACTGGACCGCTGCTCGTCGCGTATTCCGTATCGGCGGCAGAGTTGTTGCTGTTGCTGTTGCTGTTTTTGTTGCTGTTTTTGTTGTTTTGGCTGTTCATTTTGCTGTTGTTTTATTTGTTTTTGCCTTTAATTATATTGATATATGTATATATTTTGTAGTTGTATTTTATTTGTATTTGTGTGGAATTTTGATGTTGTCGAATGTTGAATTTGGCTTAGACTGAATAAAATCAAGTCTCCAAAACTGGAACTAACACTGGCAAGGAGGCAAGGACGACTTGATGCTGATCAGGGCAGATTGGTAGGTGTGGTGGGGGGAGGGAGGGCTTTGGCTAGGGGTGGCTGGGTTGGTGTTGGGTTTGTTCTCAAACTAAAAACTAAAACAATGCGACAAACAGTGCCGCAGAACATCTTGTTGCATTTGCAATTTCCGGTATCGCACACACACACACACACGCGTAAAAAAAAAAAAGAAAATGGAAGAAAATGTGTCAACCATAAGGCACAAAGCACAATACAAAAAACAACAAAACCCTCTCCCTCCCTCTCTCCCTCTCTCTCTCTCAACAGCAGCTCTGAAGGCGCCGCCGCTGCCGCCTGTGCCAAAGAGGAATGGAGACGACTCCAGACGCCGCACGCGGCGTTCCACCTGCGGGCTGCTGACTGCCACCCAGCGTACAGTGCCACTCAGCGCTGTAAGGCCAGTGTGGACGTGGCATTGCTGCTGCTGCTGCTGCTCCTTTTAGCTTATTGCTGGTGGATAATTTCCCAAATTTGTTTATTTAATTTAAATTAGGGGCCAAACTGGAATGCAGTATGTGGGCATACAGGTATGATACGCACTGTGGCTGCGGCAGCGCGCTTTTGAGTCACGTGCATGCGCCATTTGTTTATGGCTTTCTCTCTCCGCCAACTTTAGCTGGTGCTGCTTCAAGTTCTCCCTCTGCTGCTGCTGCTGCTTTTCCTTTTGCTGCTCCTTCTGCTCCTCCTCCTACTTCTCCTCCCTCTGCTGCTGCTACTTCTCCTCCCTCTGCTGCTGCTACTTCTCCCTCTGCTGCTGCAGCTTTCTCCAGCTCCATCCCAACACCGCCATCTCCTGAGCCATTGCTGCTCGTTGTTGCTTTTGAGCTGCAATTGTCAGTTGACAATGCAGCCAGCCAGCCAGCCAGCCAGCCAGCCAGCCAGCCACAAACAACACAAAACAGAGAGGCGTAGAGGGGAAGCAAAAGGAAAGCCATAAAGCTCAACAATCCAAGATTTGTTGACATCTTAAAGCCAGCCAGCAGCCCAGCAGCCCAGCAGCCTAGCAGCCCAGCACCCCGCACTTTAATTGAGTTCTCACACATTTTGACATTCTGACAGTTATCCCAAAGAGATATATAGACGTCTCAGCGCAGGTTGCACGCAGCCACTCACCTGCAAAGACAAAGCCAGAGAAAGAGAATGCGTTAGGAATAAATAAAATAGTGGCTCCAAGAAGGCTTCAGATAAAAATGCGACAAGGCAGAAATATGAACAAAAATCGATATAGCTATATGAGCAAGAGCCTGAGCAGGAGATACATATGTATGAGTACGAATTAGTAAGCCAAACTGGTAGTGGGGGGGAGAGGGAGTGGCAATCGTCTGTGGGGCAGACACAACACTCATTTCGAAAGGGTTAATTGAAGCAATTTTCAGTCAACTTGAGCTCAAGTGGGTGGCTCTACTAGCTGCTAGGACTACTCACACTACTGTCTCTCTCTCTCTCTCTCTCTCTCTCTCACTGTCTGTCTGTCTCTCTCTCACTTATCTGCAGCATAAAGTCCATAAACTTGTAAAATGGCGGCCTCATTGTTTGGGGCTTGGCATAAAGCAAACAATGACGAGAACAGAGACAGGCAAAGGCAAAGGCACTGCCACAGGAGGCGCACATAGACAAGAGGCCCAACCATTTCCCTTTTGGGCCATTTCCATCTGGCTGTGCCCGTGCCCATGCCTGTGCCTGTGCCGCTGCCTTCTGCTGTCTTAACAGCAACGACGTGTAAAACAATTGTGCTCTCGCAGTTAATTTGTGTGCAACAACAGGAGCCATTCGTAGCCATGGATGATACGAGTATTCCTGCCTGTGACACGACAATTGAAAAGGCAATGCACACACACAGAAGCACACTGGCATACACATACTGGCACACACTGGCACACACTGGCACACACAATGTGCCAAAGTTTATACGAAATTAATGTTAATTACAGCGCCATGGATACGAGACTCTGTGCCACATCTGCATCTGTGCACCAGCTGTGGGCACCGTGTCATGGGGGTGGGGGGTGGTGGAGCGGTGAAAATTCATATGCAGCCGAATGCAATTAACCGAAATGCATTTAACCAGCTGAGAAGGAAGAGCTCAAGGAGCAGCGCCGCTACCGATGACTCGACAAAATGTCTGGCGACAGGAAAAAAGGAGTGGAGAGGAGAGGAGAGGCGAGGCGAAAGACGCAGCACAGGCAAAGGGATGATTAATAACCATAATGGATGAGTGCTGTTTAAAAAGGAATACCATGGCTGCTGGCTGCTGGCTGGTGGCTGCTGCCGGGCGCTGAGTGCAATCGATAATTGCAATAAATCCATTAGTGATCTATCGAATGCAATCCAAATTAAAAGCAGATACTTCTACAAGGTATTCGATTCGATTCGCCCATTTAATGCTGCAGCAACACTGCAACAGAAATTATGTGCCACAGTCAACGGCTATTGGTGTGTTTCGGAGGGGCAACTATCACTGCCTCTGGCACAATTTATTAAGCGTTATATTAATTAATTAATGTTATAATTTTTTATATTTTTTATTATTAATTTTTTTTAAATTTATTTTTATTTTCTATTTATTTATTTTTTGTATTTATATTTTCGTATTTTCTATTTTTACACAGTCTTTGGCAGCGTGCAAAATTCAGCTCTAAAGAGCGCAAAAAAAATGCTGAAATTTGATGCACTATCCGCACTATGCCACCAGCGAATAAACTGAATAACAATAACTATATTTCTTGAGGCAGTAGCGCCCATGCCCCATGCGCCCCGTATTTTCTCCCAGACTTCTTCACCAATTTTCGCTTATTAAATGTAACACAAAATGCAGCCCTTAATAGTGTAATATTTTTAAATGTTGATTGATAATGCTTGAGGCACATTTCTGTCATATAATCCGCTGAGACAATCCACAATTTGCGCAATCATCGATCATCTCTCAGCGAGCAATCAATCGAGTTCACCTTTTCGGCCCCGCTTAAGCCGCTTGCCATGGCCCTGCCACAAGGAGAAAGAGAGAAAGAATTTCCCCTTTGCCAGTCGATTCTTTTATATTCGCTTCCCTTGGCTGATGTTGATTTGCTTTGTTTTGTTAGCGAATTGAACAACTTTTCCAGCTGTCTGGCAGCTTTCGGCATTCCCATGACCTCCCTCTCCCCCCCCCACTACCCCCTGAGCAGCAAGACCAAGCGCGCATCTTCCATGCCATTCCGTTCTATCCACTGCTGTGGCGCTCGAGGCACGGTCCATGGCATTCTCCATGATGTGGCACAAATGGCAATGCGCTTAACGTGTTTCGTGTTCCGTGTTGCTGCTGCTGCTGCTGCTCCTGTAGTTGCTGCTCCTGTTGTTGCTGTTGTCATGCATTGTGTGGCGCTGACACTGCAGCAATCGACAGGCAGGAACAACAAAGCCCCACAGAGAATGGGGCATGGAGCAGGGAGCAGGGAGCAGGGAGCATGGAGCAGGGAGCACGGAGCAGGGAGCGTCCTGGTGGGTTTGGTTTCTCGTGGATTGGAGTGAAGACACCTTGGCCCACGCACTGACAATTTATAAAAGCCACAACAAATGTCTGAGGCTGTAAACTTACCGTAAATCTTTGCAGCAATGTCTGCCAAAGGCAACGAGCAACGTGCAACGTGCACCGTGCGGCAGCGGGTGGTAATGCCAGCGTGTACGGCCACACAGAAAAGGCAATGGCAAGACAAGGACGATGACGATGACGTTGTCGTCGTCGTCGTCACGCGGATATGCCGGGCGCGACTCTGAAGGATTTTCATGGCTGGCAACAATTTTCTTTTGTTGTTGTTGCCGTGTTGCCGTTTTGCTGTTGCTGTTGCCGTGTTGCCGTCAGCATGTCAAAGCTCCAACACGTTTCACCACACACACACAGCCGTCAGAACACTCGTGAAACAACTCGTGTGGCAAGCTGCAGCCAAAAGAGCCAATGGGTAAATGCTCTTTAAATTATTTAAAGATTGTTTTTTACCCGACATTTATTTCTTTAATTAGTTTTACATTTATTTTATTAGATAGTCGCAAATTGTCAGGCAAATTGTGCTCATGGATAAAGCCTCCTGGCCACAGGCTGAGAGCATACCAGAGGCGACTCGCAACACACTCTCTCTGTCTTTGGTTTGTCAGCGTCTTGGCGGCGCCTCGTGACAGCATTTTGTACTGCCTGCCTGCCTGCTGCTACCCCCAGTCCCAAGCCCAAGCCCAGGCCCAACCATCAGCTGTTGTCTGTTGGTGCTGCTCCACCATTGTTATTGTTGCTGCATTTCTTTGCTTTCATTAGTCTAATCCAGACATGATCATGCATATATTGGTACCTGTGCCCTGCCCTGCCCTGTCCTACCTCTACCTATGCCTGAGGCTGCTCCTGCTAGTCCTCCTGCTGCTGCTCCTGCTGCTGCTGCTTAAGCGTTCATAACATTTTCATTTTTAATATACACAAACATGCATGTGCCTTCAGCTCGGCCGGCTGCTTGTTTTCCCTGCCTTCCTGTTTTTTTTTTTTTTTTTTTTTTTGTGCTTTTTGCATGACAAACTTTTTTATGTAAATTCCATGGCTGCTGCTGCTGATGCTGCTGCTGATGCTGCTGCTGATGCTGTCGCTTTTTGTTGTTTTACTTTCTGTTTGCCATTTGTGCACCTGTGTGCCCGTCCCCTACCGTCATAAGGCATAAGCCCAGGTAACACACACAGAGAGAGAGAGAGAGAGAGAGAGAGAGCGAGGGAGAGGGAGAAACTTTGCTATTCCTGGGAGTCATGCACAGCCTAT